CTGAGGTGCTTTGTCAAGTCAAGTCGAGCTTTATTATCATTCCGCTACAAGCGTGGACAAACAGAGGAATGAAATGTTGTGTCTCGCAGGACAAAAGTGCTACATAAAATAATCATAAATACAAACACAACAGTGGACATAAAAGCTATTAAATAAAAACGCCTATGCATAACTAACATGAACTATAAGATTGTTGAAGTATACACTTAAGTTACAGTTACAGGTGAAAATAAAGAATTCTACATGGGATTGTAAAGCTGAACTAGAAAACTAAAGAAAACAAAGAATGCTGAACGATTAAAGCATTAAAAACATTCTCCTTAAAAATATGGCTCTAAACTGATCTACTGCAATGTACATCATTTCAACCGTTGAAGATACTGGCTTTACTTGGTTTGGGACTTGAGGAGCCAACACAATCTCACGGCAATTTGTAACTTTTTGATTTAGTGGCTAATTCGTATGAATTAGTATGATCTAATTTTTACAATTTAGAACGACTTGCTCATCCCCCAATGACGGTTGAGTTTAGGGGTGGGGTTAGGTGCCACACCTCCTTTTTAAAATCGTACAGTTTCATACGACTGAACTGAGCCATATATGTATATATATATAGTGTTTGGACATTTTTAGCAGTGAAAATTAAACCACATTGAACTGAACTAAACTGAATTTCAACTCTGAATACTGGACTGACACAGTTTCAGTTTACTAGAACTTCTACGTTATACTGGTTTGACACAATCTTGAAGAAGCGCTATAGAAATGAACATAAGTTGAATTGTTGACACTTGATTAGCAAAGTTGAAGTTTAAAACAGGTTTGACTTTAAAGGTTTTAAAATCATTCTTTAAATGGTCTATTCACTATAATGTGTTGTTCTGTTTATTTAAAAGCACAACTCACATAGACGTCATTCTCAAACCAAATGAAGTTCTATTGACCAGCTTTTATTATTACCTCTATACATAACATGTGGAATGACTGAAATAACAACAGTAAACGTGGTCATGCGTTTAGTCTTGTGTAATATTGCTGTTCAAGTGCTCTGTGATGATAACTCTCATATGATTATATTTATCTTTCATCAGACAGGATATTTGAACTTCCTGTAACAGACCACACTTTGATTAGGGGTCAGACTTACTCTCTATAGCTCTCTTAAAGAGACGAAAAACGGTGAATTATGTGATCATTTATTGATACTTCATTGTTTCAAACCTGTTTGAGCTCCTAAAAATAAAAGATGATGTCTTAAAGAATGTTGATAACAGTATTTATTGACCTCTAAATTATATATTTTTTATTGCTATGGATGTTAATGGTTACCGGTTTTCAACATTCTTCAAACTATCTTCTTTTGTGTGTGTGTGTGTGTGTGTGTGTGTGTGTGTGTGTGTGTGTGTGTTCATCAGAACAAAAAATTCTAACTGTTTTGGAACATATAAAGGGTCAGTAAATGATGAGTAATGAGAATTTTTAGTTTTGGGTGAACTCTTTTTTTTTTTAAGGGTAAGTAAATCTTGTTTTTTTGGTGAACTATTCCTTTCATTTTTTTTTTTTTGGTTGGCATTGTGTAGCATTCACATTGGAGTGAAGTCATAATTAATTTGTTAATTGTTGAAAAAAAAGTAACCCCAGTAATGTAAGGTGAAGGCGTGAGACGGAGGTGCTTTACACACCTCATTTTGAGAGTGTTTTGTGTGTGTCTGGGCTCTGAAGTCTTCGTCTGGTTTGATGGGTCTCGCACTGACCTTCGGCAGACGTTGAGATGTTGTTTTTGTGGTCCACAACTGATCTTTTTAAAAGTGACTCATAGCAGAGGCGTCTGGAGCTCTGCCTTATTATGTGTCACAAGGCGTGTCCTTTATAAAGTCTGCACACACTTTTGTTTTATGTCAGATTATGTCATCTTTACAAAACTTTCAATGGCATTTCAAAATATTCAGCTAATATTTAGTTATTTTATATGACTACTGAATACTGGTTGGCATACATTGTGTCAATTGTAGTGCTTGAGTGGTACTTTGCACAAAAATTATAAATAAAAATAAATAAAGGGCAAATACAGCTAACAAAAGTATTCTTTGTAATCATAGTATTATTTCTATTTTATTGTATTATGTCTATTACTTCTGCTGATATACTAAAGATGTAAATATTACATAACCTAATGATGATATTGTATTATTATTATTATTATTATTAATAGGGGTGTCAACTGGGTGTTAAATGTCTTAAATTATAAGTACATTTTAGGCCTTAAAAAGTCTTAAAGGGCACCTAGGTTACCCCTTTTTAAGTGTTTTACATCTCTAGAATGTGTATGTAAAGTTTCAGCTCAAAACACCCATCAGATTTTTCATCGCACCTTTTAAAAGATTCTATTTTATACATTTTTCCACCAGGGGGTTGTTTTGTTGTACTGCGCCTTTAAGGCGAGTCCTCCCTGCCTACCATTTTTACATGCCTTTCTGCGTGCCATAATCTCCTCCCTCGGCTGCGTCAGGCATCAGACAGACTTAAAAGAACATGGTCTCACGTAGCGTTTGTGGGAAATACTACAGTAAGAACTTTACCAATGAGTATTTGTTGTGCAGTTGCATTGATAAGTCACAAACAATATCATTACAAAGTTCATGCGCACACACACACCGCAGCAGACACACACACAGACAGCTTAGCTTAGCTTTGCACTGTTTTTGCACGCATATGTGACAGTATACAGCTTAATCTCCACTGCTGTGTGGATATCTGTTATGTTTATGTACAAAATAAACCTGATTTAATGTCCACAATCTGGGATTGAAGCGTCTTCCTTTATAATTGTTTTGACATGCAGCTGTGCTGTTGAAGTTAAGCTGAAGTAAATCGCTGTACTTCATTACACATGTGCACTGTTTTAAAACATTTAAACATGTGAAACTTACTCTTGACCACATTTGATGATGAATGATGATCCTAGCGAACTGTACAGATCTTTTATTCCCAATTGCTTTGTGCACGTTTGGTCTTGTTGACATGATTATACACGTGACTTCCGGTACATGTTAATGCGTGCAGCTGTCAATCAATTCGGTGGGCGGGGGGGCCGCACTCCTACGGCAAGTTGCGGTCCGACTGAAAACCGCTCCAATTGGTCCACCTTTTTTTATGTTTTTAAATTGAAAAAAGGACTTTGTGTGTTTATATCAACCCAATATGATGGTCTGTACACTATATCTACACATGTCTGTCCAAACAGCTTGAAAAGTAGATTTTTCACCATAGGTGCCCTTTATGGTCACTGAAATATTGTGCATTAGGTCCTAAATCATTATAAGCAGGTCTTAATTTGGCTGTCCAAGTAAACCTACTCAATCAGGCCAACATTTAACCAAATGCCAACAGTCTACTTCAATAAAACATTATTTTCATATTTATTTATTTATTTATTTATTGCAAGGAGATACAATTCAGAACATCTATTAGAAAATTTTACAACAAATTCCCTATTAAAAATAGAAAAGAAAAGAAAAAAATAATGATCATTTCCTTATGATAATCCTGGTAGTAAGCTGATAACAAAAACTGCATTAGTCTAAAATGACATTTTAATGGTCTTAAAGGGTGAAACTTGCAGAAGTCTTGCAAAATATTGTAAAAAAATTATAATACATTTGTTTATTTTATTGTAATCTATTGAAAAAAAATTTACTCTTATTAATTACTATGCATATCAATACATTACTATTCAAATTCATATTTTTCACATAGTTATGCTGTAGGTTATATTATTATTGCATATAATACAAAATTATTATTATTATATTTCTCCTACATTCAGTTGATTATAATAATAATAATAATAATAATAATAATAATAATAATAATAATAAATTCCAACCAATATCACATTTTTTTATACACGTCATATTTTATTATTATTTATCATAAAGTTCTTGAAATCATTTTTACCTTGTATATGTATTCATATATATTTTTTGATACTTTTGATATTATTGTTTTTGTTGTTATTGTTGTTATTTCTCTCACATTCTGTTGATGATGATGATGATGATAATAATAATAATAATAATAATAATAATGCCAACCAGTATCACATTTTATTAATACAACATATTTCATATTTTATAAATTGTTGTTTATCATAATTAAATATCTTGGAATGATTTTATATTATTATTATTATTATTATTATTATTATTATTATTATTATTAATATTGTTGTTAAATTTCACTTGCATTCTGTTGATGATGATGATGATAATAATACTACTGCTACTACTAATGAAAATAATAATGCCTACCAATTTCACATTGTTTTAATACAACATCATATTTTATTAGTTATTATTTATCATAATTAAAAGTTCTTGAAACTGTTTTATATTATTAACTTGTATTATTAGATTATTTTTACACTTTTGATAATAATAATAATAATAATAATAATAATAATAATAATAATAATAATAATAATATTAGTTTATTATTATTATTATCATCATTAATTAGAATGACAAAAATAGTAAATAATGTTGATTAGTTATTTTTTGCATTTAGTAGTAGTAACAGTATGCCCTTTTTTATTTTTTTAATGTGTAAAATATATTTTTATATAAAATTCATAAGACCAAATATTGAATGAATCCATATATCCAATATGAGCCTATATATATCTAAACGACTACAGTAAAGCCTCCCCTTTAACAAATTTCCACTGTGAAATATTAATGCAGCGCCGCACATCTGCTGCTCCTGCAGGTAGTGCAGTATTGTCTCGGCGAGTCTGCTTTTCCAAAGGCCTTCTCTTTCTCTCTCCCTCAGTCTCTCTCTCGCGCTCTCCCTCTCTCCAACCGGATGACATTTGCATATGCAGAACGCCGTGTGCCGACACATAGGAGAATCCAGCCCTGCCCCCTCCCCCCTCATTAATATGTATGTGCTCTGAACGGTGCGCTGCTTGCTGATTAATGCTGTCTGTCAATTTCTTACAGATCCGACAGTGCTGTGGAAGTTCCCTCAGGACTTTGGAGACCAGGTTGGAGACAGGAACTTTTTTTTTTTTTTAATTTTTTTTCTATCTCCCACCACATCCACGACCCCTCCTGCTCCTCAAGGCCTTTCCTCCATCCTCTTTTTTTCTCTTCTCCTTTTCTCTATTTCTCTCCCATGCGGTGTGATGTTGCTGATAATGAAAAGCGGTGAGCAGGTCTTCAGTAAGCGTTGTTCTGGTAATTATCAGCTGGCTGTGATGTGAATGGGTGCGGATGGAGCGTTTTTGTGCTGTATCTCACACCTGAACAGCTGGGTGGCACTCAGGGGTTGGTGCAGTAGCTCGGTAGTAATGCTCGATAACCAAGGTTTTGAGCAGTGATAGACTTATGGGGCAGATGTAGCTGGTATTTGCCTCTTAAGATCACATCACACAACAAATTATATTATATTATATTATATTATATTATATTATATTATATTATATTATATTATATTATATTTTGTATTTTATCATATTATTTTATATTAAATTATATTATATTATTAAATTAAATTAAATTAAATTAAATTAAATTAAATTAAATTAAATTAAATTAAATATTTAATTTTATTATATTATTTTATATTAAATTAAATTATATTATATTATATTATCCATTAATTAACTATCCTTTCCCTTAGTCCCTTTATTCATCAGGGGTCGCCACAGCAGAATGAATCGCCAACTTATTCAGCGTATGTTTTACAGAGTGGATGCCCTTCCAGCTGCAACCCAGTACTAAGAAACATCCATACACTCTCATTCATACACATACACTACAGCCAATTTAGTTTATCCAATTCACCTATTGCGCATGTCTTTGGACTGGGGGAAACTGGAGCACACGTAGGAAACCCATGCCAACATGGGGGAGAACATGCAAACTCCACACAAAAATGCCAGTAGACCCAGCCGGGACTTGGGCTAGCGACCTTCTTGCTGTGAGGCGACAGTGCTAACCACTGAGCCACCGTGTCGCCCTATATACTATACTATATTATATTATAGTATAGTATAGTGAAATGAAGCTCTTTTAAGGACTTGCTTGATCGAAATCTTGCCTGACAAGTTGTGGACATATAAACTGCTCTTTATTGTGCTCTTATGCTTGCTATTGTGTCACTTGAAATGTACAACATAACTCTTGCCATGAAAATGCACTCAAGACACCTAAGACTAACTTTTAATATCAACATTTATTGCTCTTAACACTATTTACACAAAACTCGGAACTACACATTCCATACACAGGTAGTTACAACAACACCGTTCGTTCATGTTGTCCCAACACAAAACAATTAAGTTAACTTATGCTAACCAATTCAATACTTTCATTCATTAATTTTCCTTCGGCTTAGTCTATTTATTTATAAGGGGTCGCCACAGCGGAATGAACCGCCAACTTATCCAGCATATGTTTTACACAGCAGATGCCCTTCCAGCTGCAACCTAGTACTGGGAAACATCCATACACACTCATTCATACACATACACCAAAGCCAATTTAGCTTAATCAATTCACCTGTAGCGCATGTCTTTGGACTGTGGGGGAAACCGGAGCATCCGGAGGAAACCCACGCAAACAGGTGGAGAGCATGCAAACTCCACAAAGAAATGCCAACTGACCCAGCAATGAAGCAACAATGCTAAGCACTGAGCCACCGTCAAAACTTTTCTATTAAAATGTACTTAATATTACTAGATTTATTTGCAAAAATTAGAAAACATTGAGAAATCTCAAGTAAATAAACACTAATTTAACTGTTTTCCAGCTCTCTTTTTTATTACATGAAGTAAATGTGTAAAAATATTAAATATTTTACTCAGGAAAATCTCAGTTTATCGTTGACATTTAATATTACAATTTTAAAAATTATAAAAAGTAAATTTATTAGAATGTTAAAAACAATATTTAGGTTATTTATTTATTTATTTATTTATTTATTTATTTATTTATTTTTCAAAGTGAATATCAGCCCTATTTGCCTATGCACTTCTATGATAATGGTCAAAATGATCCAAAATTACTCAAATCATGAATATTATTTATTATTCTAATAATGTGTTCATTCATTCATTCATTCATTTTCCTTAGTCCCTTTATTCATCAGGGGTTGCCACAGCGGAATGAACCGCCGACTCATCCAGCATATGTTTTACGCAGCGGATGTCTTTCTAGCTGCAACCCAGTACTGGAAAACACCCATTCTCTCTCTCTCTCTCTCTCTCTCTCTCTCTCTCTCTCTCTCTGTTTCTCTCTCTCTCTCACACACACACACACACACACACACACACACACACACACATTATGGCCAATTTAGTTAATTTAATTCACCTACAGCAGGGGTGCCCACACTCGGCCCTGGATGGTCGGTGTTCTGGAGAGTTTAGCTCCAACCCTAATCAAACAGACCTGAACAAGCTAATCAAGCTCCTACTATGTATACTAGAAACTTCCAGGCAGGTGTGTTGAATAATAAGAATAGTTCAATACCTCAATTTTGAAAAAAATGTCAGATAGAACCTTATAATTCTAAGGTGACGAAATACTGGCTGTGTTGCTATAGTTTGTAAAAGGTAGTATCATTAATGGTTACTAATGGTCTATCTACAATAGACTGTGTTGCATGTGGTAAAGTCACTAAAATGCTCACATGTGCAACAAGACCATTTTATTTGAATATTCTGTGGAGCTCTTCAAGGTTGCACATTTTCTGATGTTTTAAATGAACATCTGAATCGGTTCATTTCTGTTCCTGTCAATATGAGTTAATAGCTACAACAACCGCAACAATCTCTTTAAAGATCGACTGGCAAAGATAAATTTTGAATTACTTTAGATTGTTAACTGATAAGACTGCATGGGGGAAAATATAAACAATAGATGAAAAACCCATAAGAGCAACAGGAAACCACTTCATATGGCCTAATTGTGTTAGAAAAATGCTCTTTTGTGACAAATTTCATTTGGTATAATTTGTATCTTTATTTTAATGTATTTTTTGTTACAAGTAAATTTTCAAGTCAGTTTAACACAATACAATTGTGTTAAAAGGGGAAATAGCGTCAGCTCAATAGCCTAGCCGTCACATGATGCGTTAGCACTTAAGGGCGTCCCGAGTTAGAATTCCGGCTCGAGGACATTTCCCAACTCTACCCCCCGCTGTCTTTCCAACTTCGCTTCCTGTCTTATTACTGTCCTATAATAAAGGCAAAAAGGCCAAAATAAATATTAAAAAAGAGAAATAGCAGCAATTGCATTAATTCAAGATTTAGGTAAAAAGTGAGTAGAACTGAAAATCCTAGATCTAAATCCTCCCAGATGCGATTTTTATCACTTTAAACTTCTTTCAAAAGGGCATTACGGAGCTTCTGATCAGAAGAACAGAACAGAAATGTTTTGATTGGTTTCTTCAGTGTAGTTCAGGTCATGTGTGCTCTCTGCTTCAGCAGAAGTGGGTCTGGGCCTGGGTCATAGTGCAACGTTGAGGTTTTCACACTTCTTTTTTCTTCTTTCTTTTCTACTCTCTCGGCCTCAAGGTCTTCATGTACAAGCTCAATACAAATTGGCCAGTTCATTACGAAGCCTGCAAGAAAGCATACGTGACCATCTTTGCCTTTGGTGCACTTTGCTCCTCTGCAGAAACTCTCCACTCTGAAACATTCTCAAATCAAAAAAAAAAAAAAAAGAGAGAGAGAAATCCTTGTTTAGTGACAAGATCGTTTCTGTTTTAAGATGTGTACAGATGGATCGGCCTTTTCCACATCCACATAAAGGCTCTCAATGAGTCGCCTCATTACCAGGATTAAGCGTCTTTGTACGGCTGCTCCCTCTCTAGCCGGCCCGAAATCCCTTTTTTCCCCCAAGTTAGCCAGCATATGGCAGCAGCAGCTCCCATCTCTACAGGCCTCCTTTGTTTATCCTCTTATTGTTGCGGCGCGTAATGACAGTTGTAGGCCGTAGTTTGGGGTGGAGGGGTTACTTTACCCCAGGGGAGCGCCAGGGCGAGGGAAGAGCCGGAGACAGACAGGACTGTGGATTATGGAAATATGAATTGATTTTTTATCCACTCGCCGCTCTGCTCGAATAGGGACTCTTAAATGAGGGGCGAACAGACTGGAGGCTGGCGAAATATGAAGTGCGATCCCTCGGCCCCAGAGACTCGCCGCGGCCGCCGTCACCTACATCTGCCATGTGGAGCAGCTCGAGCGCCGTGTAGATCTATCTGAATCACAAGGAGGCCATTTTTTGCAAATCGAGCAGACAGATGGAAAAGCAAGACTTTACTGCCCCGGTGTCTCTTAGATCTCTCTTTTAAAAAAAAATGCATGTCGGTTTAAAGGGATAAATAAACAGATATGCATATGCGGGTTATTATTATTATTTTTTTTATGTCTCGTTTCTGTGCTTGCCACCATTTGAAGTTATTTGAAAGGATTTAGTGTTTTTATTGATGGGGGGTTAAGGAGCAGCAGCTCGTAAATAACTGGAGAGATTAGCTGTTCTTCTTTTTTTTTTTTAAGCTGTTATGCGCCTTGAACTCTTCACAGTACAGGCTTATGTATGATCTCAATGCGGAGTTTCATCTGTAATTATTTAGTCACACTCAGAAAGCACAAATCACTTTTTTCCTTGACTCTTTTATAGCAGTTTGGAGAATATATTAATGTTGCTTTTTATGGTGCTTTCTGTTTTTCTGTCAGGTGCTTGCTTTCCAGACATACTATCAAAAGGCAAAGGCTGATAAAACAAGCACCTAAAATTGTTTATTGAAAATGTTGCTATATTTATTCATATTTGCATATTTATTTAAATATTTTACCCTCTTTGTAAAAAAAGCTACATTTTATAAAAAATATAATAATAATAATAATAATTATTATTGTTATTATTATTATTATTATTAATAAAGTTGGTATTTTTGCTTACATTTTTGCTAACTATTATTTCAGAAAAAATAATTTTAATACAATTTATTATTATTTTTTTATTATTATTATTA